TGACTCCTGGCGCCCCCACGTGTGTCAAAGTAGAACTGTGCTCCATAAGGTTTTCAATGGCTGATTTTTTAGAAGTAGATTGCCAGATCTTTCTTCCAAGGCACCTTGGTTGGACTTGAACTGACAGCCTTTAGGCTAGAAGCTGAGTGCATTAACTGTTTGCACCCCAGCGGTAGGTGTTATTACATTGGGTTTTCAGATGAAGAAGGCAAGGCACATCAAGGTTAAATAATGTGTCCGAGATCACACAACGAGGAGAGAAAAGAGGTGGAAGTTGAACTTAAAAGATGAATTCCAAAGTTTGTGTGTTCTTAAGGAGCCCAGAGAGAAATGAGCACTAGAAAGATAGAGAGCCAGCCATTTGGAGAGAAGGGTGATTGGAGAGACATTCTGAGCAGCAGGAAGATGGCCAATGGATGTCTTCAGAATGATGCCCAATTTTCAACTTTAAGTGTCTCCTATTCCGTGCTCTGCTGCCACCTTTTCCGTTCTTCCTAATGCTTCAAAAATCTCCTCCTCACCTTACTATTTGGTATGAATTATGCTTTGAGGAAATAGTGGAGGGTATTATCCAGCGTGCAGACAGAAACCTGGGAAATGTACGCCCAGGGCATTTTGTCAATTCATGGCTGTCTGACTAAGCTGTTTTATTACATTAACGGAAAGTAGGACCCCAGGGGCCTGTGGGACTTGGGGACAGGCCCAGGTAGTTTTATGTGATCAGCTTGAGGTCACCAGAAGCTTTGAAGGATCACAAGCAGTCCTGTCCTACTTACAACCCAGACCCATCACACCCCGCTGAATTTTCCCTTGGAGGAGTTGGTGCCTGAGAGAAGATGTTGAGATTGTTCTTATGACAAGTCAGTTCCAGAATACTCCAGAAGTTTAAAAAAGTGCACAAGCCCCTTGCCAAGTCAGAGAGATGGCTTCTCCACATACAAACCAGGACTGGATTTCAAGGACTTTCTGGCTCCTTTCAGGGGCTGAGGAGGTAGCGAGATCCAGAGGGACAAGCATTGATTGAGCTGTGACCGGGACACCCAAGTTCTCATCCAGGCTCCGGTGGGGATCACGAGCAAGCCGTTTTCTCTCACAGGCCTCAGATTCCCCTCCTGTGAAGGACTAGAGGACGTTTAAGTCCCTCTCAGCTCTAACATCTTATGAACCTGTGCATTTCATGAAGAGAAAATACCTTCCCTGCCTCCCCTCCTCCTGTCCTACCACAGATATTACTACTTCTGCCACCTTCCTGATTTGGACCCTCTGGGTCTGCTGACCCCACTTTCTCTGGTTCTCCCTGTGAGAACGTGTGTGGGAAGAGTATGTCTGATACATACCGTGGATGATGCCATTTTCTTTCTTTCTTTTTCTTTTTAAAAATATTTTATTGTGTTTTTGGTGACAGTTTACACAGGAAATTAGGTTCTTATTTTACAATTTCTATACCTATTTTTTTGTGACATTGGTTACATTCTTCACAATATATCAGCTTTTTCGTTATTTCCATTTTGGTTGTTCTGTTTCCATTAATCTAGCCTCCCTGTCCCCCCTAGCCTTCTCATCTTTGGTCTAGGGTAAATGTTAACCGTTTAGTTTCATCTAGACGATTATTTTGAGGCACACAGTACTCACTGGTGATATTATGTATTTTATAGACCAATCTGTCGTTTGGCTGAAAGGTGACCTCTGGGAGTGGTTTGAGTTCCAAGTTGAAAAAGTACCTCAGGGCAATAGTTTCTGGGGTTCCTTAGTCTCTACCAGTCCAGTAAGCCTGGCTGTTTTTTTTAGGAATTTGACTTTTGTTCTACATTTTTCTTTCATTCTGTTTGGGACCATCCATTGACTGTCTGGTCGGTATGGGCTTGGCAGACCTGACTTTGCACGGCCAGCTCCCAAAATGGTCTTCTCTGCAGTGAGTGAGACGCATGTGCAGGAAACAGAATCTTCGTGCTAACGCTTGGTTAAATCTTAAAGATGGTCGCAATAATCTTTCTGCTCTTTTCCCACCTCCTTCCTGACTCGACATGACGGACACCTGCGTTTCGAGGACCGTGTGTAGGGGAATAAGACGAAGTGACCTCAGACAAAGTGGCCAGGGACAAGGGACTCCTTCTGGTCTGTTAATGGTGGAAGATGCATTTGAGGCCCCTGGGCCTGCTGGCAGCTGAGGGTACCAGCCCATTATGCCTGGCCTGTGCCGCAGCCTACCTGAGACCACGGAGCCTCCAGGCTGCAAAGCAAGGAAGTCAGGGAGACATGATCTATGTTAGGTTTAAAAAACCAGTTGCCATCGAGTTGACCCTGACTCATGGTGACCCCATGTGTGTCAGAGTAGCGCTGTGCTCCATAGGGTTTTCAATAGCTAATTTTTTCAGAAGTTGATCACCAGGCCCTTCTTCTGCAGCATCTCTGAGTGGACTCAAACTTCCAACCTTTTGGATAGCAGCCAAGCATGTTAACCATTTGTACCACCCAGAAACTCTTTTTAGGTTTGGCATGTGGGAAATAGAGGCTGAGCAGTCTCATCGTGGTGTGTATCCAGAACGTTCTGAATGATCTTGCCGTTGCTATCCAGGGGTTTGTCATTTACTCTATGGTATAAATCTATAACCTAAGTATACATCTTACTGTGAAACAAAGCCTTTTTGCCTTCTTTTTTGTCTTTCTTTTTGCAAAGAAATCCTTTCAGCTGCCTTGAGCTAAAAGAGTGCACGTTTAATGAAAATTTAAATACCAAATATCCTTTTCTCAAGAATGTTGATGATGAACGGGTAACTTGCACAAAATGCTCGTCAACATCGGCCATACACTCTGGGAGCTGTAGAATATAACTGACCACAGGAAAATGCTTATGAAAAATTATCACTATCGATTTCAAACATTAGTAGTTGTAAGAAAAGTATGTCTGGCCGTGACGATTTAACACGTGCAGCCGTGTTTATACAACACACTCTGCTGTATGGCTTTTCGGTTAGGCCCAATACTTATTCTTCTAGATTACTTCTCCTTAATATAGATTTCACTTTTTCTTCTGCACACAGGAAGAGTGATAGCTGTTAATGAGTTGGCACCATTAGAAGAATGACTTCACGAATAATTAAATGGTACAGTTTGTATCAGTGACTTCAACAGATGAACAGTTCATTTAAATTGTGGCTTGCTTTTTTTCATCCAATTCATGGGCTCAAAGTAAAGTTTCTGGAAGTTCATTCTGTTAAAGATACAGCATGTGACATTATCGTAATTTGTAAGCTCACTCCAAAATTGCAACAAGGGAGGTGGAATGACCTGTTTCTTGGTGGTCCTACCAAAAGAGATTTGGGTGGAGCACAGCATCATGGGAAAAACAGTGTTATTACTAAATGAAGAAACCTATAGGGCAGAAATGTATTTGGAATTAGATGTAGTGTGTTTGTAGTTCATAATTGCACCTAAACAAGCTGGGATAGTCTACCATCAAATAGAAACTATAGTTGACAGACATTATAAATATTTTTATTTCTATACAGAGAAACGGAACTATAAGATATGTGTGATAGAGATAATGATGAACATTTAAAAAAAAAAGCTTCAACCTGGTTTTAGGAGCTTTTTTCTTTTCTGTGTGCTTTTAGATTTTAGAAACGTTTGCGCTTTTCAAGGACTACTTAGCAAATCAACACAAGCATAAAACAATATATTGATTTTTACTTTCTTTTTTTTTAAATAAGTAAGCCCTCTAAATTTTGTTCGCATTTTGTTCAAAATCAGGTGTAATCTTTAATTAAGTATTCAAGGAATGGTGAGCCAAAAGGCTTGAAGCTTTTTGAGGCTTTTAGCAAAATGCAGTTAGTGAAGATAAAACTTACAACCAGGAAGACATTGAAACCTACCTTTACCACACCAAAAGAAGGAACTAAACAAATTCAATAATTTAAACTTCAGCATATGTAATTATGCTTTGGAATAGTTTGACTTGTGGGCTAACTCTTTCGGTGGAGCTTTTGCTCTGGATTGGATGGTTTTATACTCTGTACTGGAATGGAAAGGAGCTCCCGGTGGCGCAAAAGTTAAGGGCTGGGCTGCTAACTGAAGGTTTGGGGTCACTATGAGTCAGAATCGACACAAGGACACCAAACAGCAACCGGGATGAAATGAAAATGGACTGAAATTGAGAAGGCTTGTGAACTGGCAGCATCTCAGTTAGACAGAACATTCGAAAACCATAAATCAAGACAACTTATTTCATGAGTAATGTAAAATATTTGTCAAAGAAAGTTTCTCTGAACGGTACCTGTGAAAAGATTTAGACTGAAATATTAGCACGCGCCAATGACATTGAATGAGGAATATCTTCCATTTATCAGAATTAGTTCTTAGCTTACGAGTCACCTCACTGTCTATAGAAAGAGTATTAATTAAAAATACTTTGGTTTATTGAGAAGAGTAAATTGAAGGTGTCAACAATTTCAAATTGATTAACTAGAAAATGAAACTTTGAGTTTTATAAAAAAAAAATTAAAAATACATGTCTTAGAAAAATATCAGTGACATAGTATTAAAGATAGATATGACTCCAGAGCTGATGAAAATGGGTGGTTATGAATTTATAACTTGCTTATGTTATATTTAAATGTTCAGACAAATCAATATAAAGAATTAAAAATTATTGCTGTAATATACATTAACATGCTGTTTTTATTTTTTTAGAAGTAATTTTATTTTGGGGAAAATAATTTTTGACTAGAAATTTTATAGACCTACCATTATACTAAAACCCATTTGTCAACCCACACTTCAAAAATTATGTATTTTATTTATTTTTAGTGCTCTCTTTCACTCTCAAAATTGTCCTGGTGTAGATAATAAATTATACAGTCATGTAGCTAAAACAGATGCCTATTTTGAGTGTTTGTGCTTTTTTTTTAAATCCTGTTGACTCATTTATCGATAGCCATCCATCCACTTCCAGAAACTTGAACGCCACAGAGAAGACAGCCCACTAAGTCTTTGACTTGGTCTTTAACTTGGAGATGGATGTACCACAGGCATGATGGCTTCACTCACTGCTTCCCCAGCTCAACTTGGCTTATCTTCCCCACAGCCATACAGTGGCAGTGACTCTAGGTTCCCTCTCTCACACGTGCAACTCATGCAACTCTTCATTCGGTAACTAGCCATTTAAACATTGTTTATTCTGTTTTGATACTTGTATTTGTATTCATTATGTATTGGCAACAAACCATTTTATTGTTTATTTACATTATAAACTATAGTTCCTTTTAGAGTAGAAGGAAAATGTAATTCTTCCTGTATTGTAGGATACTGTACATAAACATAGCCACTAGTGAGTCCGTTAAGAGTCAAATAATTAGGTAATTGGTGTTTTAACGGCATGATATCATGCAGGAATCCACAGTGGGTTGTTTCATAGGCGATTAAGGCTTTTGGTGTGTCTGAGGAAAAGCGAAGTGGCCAGTGTGGTTGAAGAAGAGCGACCCGTGAGGAGAGAAGATCAGAGAGGTTGGGGCGGGGGAGATCTTGGAGGACCTTATAAACCAAAGAAAGCCAAAGCTGTTGCTGTGGAGTTGATCCCGACAGAGTAGAACTGCCCCATAGGGTTTCCAAGGAGGGGCTGGTGGATTCAAACTGCTGACCGTTTGGTTAACAGCTGAGTTCTCAACCACTACACCACCAGGCCAGAGCAAAGACTCTGGGCTTTATCCTGAGTAAGACGGGAGGGAAGTCATTGAACGTTTTGAAAAGAGGGATGACATAATCTGACTTACATTTGCAAAGGATCATGCTGGCTACATACAGTCGCTATGAGTTGGAATTGACTCTATGGAAATTTTTTTTTTTTTAATGAAGAAAGTACTCTGTGATTGTGTGTGTGTGTGTGTGTGTGTGTGTGTGTGTGTGTGTGTGTGTGTGGGAGAACAGAAGGTTAGAAATAGGTAGACCAGTAAGACGGTTAGCACTGTGGTTAAAAAAAAAAAACCCAAACCAATTGCTGTGGAGTTGATTATGACTTATAGTGACCCCATGTATACTGAGTAGAACTATGCTCCCTAGGGTTCTCATGGCTGTCACCTTTTGGAGGTAGATCACCAGGCCTTTCTTCCGAGGTTCTTCTGAGTGGACTTGAACCCCCAACCCTTTGGTTAGTAGCTGAGTGCTTAACCTTTGGCGCCACCCAGGGATTCTTATTGCCATAGTCCAGGCAACACAAAATGGAGGCTGGGACTGGGGTGGTGACAGTGGAGGTGGTGATATAGTGGATTCTGGGTATATTTTGAGGGTAAACCTGACATAATCTGTGATGAATTGGAGGTGGGGTGTAAGAGAAACTTGATGGCTTTTGGCCTGGGTATTTGGAAAAATGGAGTCGCCATTTATAGAGCAGGGAAAGATTAGCAGAGGAGCAGGTTTGGATGGGGTGGAGTGGGGGATCAGAAGGTCATTTGGGGACATGTTAAGTTGGAGCTGCCTCTGAGACGTTCGGTGCATACATAGTGGTTGATTACTTATCTCTCCATGCCTCAGTTACTTCATCTGTAGATTGGAGCCGTTACTAATACTTACCTATCCCATAATCAGCCACCCGTCTGTCAGTTTGTCATACTGTGGTGGCTTACATGTTGCTGTAATGCTGGAAGCTATGCCACCAGCATTTCAAATACCAGCTGAGTCACCCATGGTGGACAAGTTTCAGACTGAGACTAGGAAGAAAGACCTGGTGATCTACTTCTGAAAATTAGCCAGTGAAAACCTTATGGATCATAACAGAACATTTTCCGGTATAGTGCCAGACGATGAGCCTTCTAGGTTGGAAGGCACTCAAGATACACAACAGCCGTAACAGCGGACTTGAGCATCCCAACGATTGTGAGGATAACGCAGGATCAAGCAACATTTTCTTACATTATTCACTGGGTTGCCACGAGCCAGAACCAACTTGATGGCAAAAACAACAACAACCCAGTGACAGGATTGCTGTAAGGACTAAAAGTTAGCAGGTTAAAGAGCCAGCCTCGTGGAAACCCCTCAAACGTTGTTATCACGAATATTTTTGATTAATTCACATTTTCTGAGAAAATTCATACTAAGAGAACATACCACGTAGTTTAGTGCGATGAAGTTTGTCCTTAGAGTTACGGAATTAGTGCTGGAAAACCAAACCAAACCCATTGCTGTCAAGTCGATTTCAACTCATAGCGACCCTATAGGACAGAGTAGAACTGCCCCCACAGGGTTTCCAAGGAGCGGCCGGTGGATTCGAACTGCTGACCTTTTAGTTACCAGCTGTAGCTCTTAACCACTGCACCACCAGGGTGTGGTCTTAAATCTCGGCTAACTCCAACCCTCCTTTTGTAGGTGAGAAGGCCGGGGGATGGCTGGGAGTCTCGTGAAAGTCTGGAATCCAGGTCTAGAACCGAGGCTCCTGCCCCTGAAGCTTGTGCCCTTCCCGTGATTCAGCGCTTCCTGCTCAATATCACATGACCTCTCCCAGGCTCTCGATTTAGGGGGACATTGACAAAAAGTCCAAGATGACTTCATCTTTAGCAATGCTTCCAATAGTTTTAATCTTCAGAGAGCAGGGCGGGTGCTCAGGGCTCAGAGAGCACACGCCTTGAGTTAATGTCCCCCCACACCTTTCTCAGAAGGGCAGGATGTGGGGAAAACTGACGTAACACTTCATCAACTTCCAGGTGGCCAGGCCTCGGAGCACTGGCCTGGCTGGTTTTGTGGGGTGGTCAGACCTGACAAGGTTCTTTTCGTTTATAAAAATAACACATGATCAGGTTTCCTCAGTCACGCAGTCCCGTTCAGCCAGAGGGAAGGCAGGACAAAATTGATGCATCTGCTGTGAAGGCGGAGTCCCTGGGTGGGGCAACACGGCTATGCGCTCTGGTTCGAACCCACCCAGAGCCTCCTTGGAAGACAAGCTTGGAGATCGGCTTCTGAAAGGTCACAGCCTTGAAAACCCTACGGAGCAGTTCTACTCTGCCCACGTGGGGTCACCATGAGCTGGAGTCAATTCCACCGCAACCAACCACAACAAAAACGCTGAAGTTAATGTCCCTGCAAACTCGGATGTTTCCAGTCGTCTCTGTATTCTATTGTCACCTAGAAGATTCCTTTTCTCCAGGTCTCACCCACATCTCCCCTTGCCCCGCACCCCCCCCTTCCATGTCACTGCTGCACAGATATTACAGGAGTGTCCGATCTTTCCCATTGGTCTTGAGATAGTGATTAATACATAATTTATCCTTGAGCCCTTTGGAGAGTTTGAAGTTTCTGCAGAAGGGGTTTGTGGCAGGTCTGGAAATCATTACATCGGATTCTTTTCCATTAAGGCCTGCAGCAGCTGTGAGTGCTGGAAAGTGAAGGATCTGGCATATTCCCAAGGCTTTCTAACTCCTCCCAAAGTGGGGGCTTTGCACCAGCCCCTGAACCAAAGGAAATGACCAGCCTTTCCCCTTCCCCCTGGAAATGTGCACTCAGCCCATATGCGGATGATTGAGAGAGGCTCTCCAGCAGCTCTGCTTTGCGGTTTAGCCCAGCATGTCCTGGACGAGGGGTGGCTGGGCAGCAGAGCCTTTGGTAGTGCAGGTCGAGTGGCTGGATTCTGTTCAGAAGAGCGGAGGTGTGGGGAGAAGAAAACACACAAACATTGCAGGTTCTCCACCCAGCATCTACTGGTAACAGACGCTGATTTTGTTTGTAGCAGTGATGTTAAACCAAAATCTAGAAACCCCTAAGCCTGCTGCCGTTGAGTTGATTCTGACTCATAGCCATCCTATAAGATAGAGTAGAACTGCCCCATAAGAGTTCCAAGGCTGTAATCTTTACAGAAGCAGACTGCCACATCTTTCTCCTGCAGAGTAGCTGGTGGGTTTGAACGGTTGACCTTCCGGTGAGCAGCTGAGTGTCTAACCACTGCGCCACCAGGGCTCTTTAGCTAGTTGCCATCCAAAAGCAGTTGTCATCAAATCGATCCTGACCCATGGTGACCCCATATGCGTAGAGTAGAACTGTACTTTATAGGGTTTTTAATGGCTGATTTTTTGAAAGTAGATCACCAGGCCTTTCTTCCAAGGTGCCTCTGGGTAGACTTAAACTACCAACCTTTCATTTAGCAGCCGAGTGCATTAACCGTTTGCATCACCTAGGGACTCCAGAAGTAATGTTACAAATTGTTCATGAACCAATGAGATGTAAGAGAACACTACGGAATGGGGCTTATGAAAAACTATTATTTTTCTGATAAAAAGGTACAGACTCTGGAGCAGGAATTTTGTGCTTATGAAGATGAAAGCCCCTTACTAAGGATGGAAGAGCAGAAAGATACAAGAAGCTCGGGACTTTCTTGACTCTCTGGACACGCTGGACCAGGTCTTTACTTGGGCTCATTGTTAGGTGAGAGAAATAATTCCCATTTGACTAAGCCACTATGCCGGAGTTTTTATTACATGCAGCTGAAAGCATTCCCAACTGATATCAGCATCTCTCATTTCATACTTGGCTCTGCTGCTTACCAGCTGGATAGCCTTAGGAAAACTCTTTGAACCTCAGTTCCCCCATTTTTAAAACGAGGGCAGTAATACTTTCCCGCAGGGCAGGGGTCCTGAGAGAATTACAGAGAATTCTGTCCGTGTAGACGTGGTGCAATCATTACTGTAGTTGTTGATAGCCTCTGTACTTTGCCCATTTTGGGGAAAGGGAAGCAGGCTGGATTGAAGGGTAGGTAAGGAAGAAGTGTTTGGAGAGGGGGGAAGTTACCTTTCGGAGATAATGAACAGGCCAAGAGGTGGAAAATCTTGGAAGACAGATCCACTGTCCAGTCACCAGTAAGCAGAACTCAGGGATGTGAACCCGCCTGAGGCAAAGACTGTCTCAGTTCAGTTCCTATCCTTTGGCGTTTCTTGCCAAAGCAGAAAACCAGAGTCTGGATGTGGATGGGCCCGGGCTTGCGGGTTATAAGCATTTGAATGGCTGCAGCTGGTGAGGAATGAGTGCCTAGGGCTGCAGGTTGTCCTCACACGCACCTCGTAAGGATGATGATGGGTGTAATACGTGTGACGGTGTCCCATGCCTTGAGCAGTGGTAGGTCAGGGAGTGATCTTTTAAATTTTCTCACTCCTCTGTTTAAAAACCCTTCACGATTCCTAGATCTAGACCAAAAAGAAATGAAAACATACGCCCATACAAAAACTTGTACATGAATGTTCATAGCAGCCCTATTCACAATAGCCAAAAAGTGCAACCAACTCAAGTGTCCATCAACAGATGAATGGATAAGCAAAATGTGGTGCATACCTACAAGGGAATATTAGCCTAGGAAACCCTATGGCACAGTTCTGCTCTGTCCTACAAGGTCGCTATGAGTTGAATTCAACTCAGCAGCAATGGGTTTGGTTTTGGGGTTTGATGTTTTCAGCATGGTGTTAGGAACCTACTATGTGTCAGGTACTGTGTGTATAATACACACTCAGTTGTTGCTAGGTGCCATCGAGTTGGTTCCAACTCACAGTGACCCTATGTACAACAGAATAAAACATGGCCCAGTCCTTCACCGTCCCCACCATCATTGCTATGTTTGAGGCCATTGTTGCAGCCACTGTGTCAATCCATCTGGTTGAGGATCTTCCTCTTTATCACTGACCTTCTACTTCACCAACTATGATGTCCTTCTTCAGGGACTGGTCCCTCCTAATAACATGTCCGACGTATGTGAGACAAAGTCTTGCCATCCTTGCTTCTAAGGAGCATTCTGGCTGTACTTCTTCCAAGACAGATTTTGTTCGTTCTTCTGGCAGGCCATGGTGTATTCAATATTCTTTGCCAACACCGTATTTTGAATGCATCAGTTCTTCTTGGGTCTTCCGCATTCATTGTCGCACGCATACGAGGCAATTGAAAATACGATGGTTTGCGTCAGGCGCACCTTAGTCCTCAAAGTGACATCTTTGCTTTTTAACACTTGAAAAAGTTCTTTTGCAGCAGATTTGCCCAATGCATTATGTCATCTGTTTTCTTGACTGCTGCTTCCGTGAGCGTTGATTGTGGATCCAAGTAAAACGAAATCTTGGACAATTTCAATATTTTCTCCATTTATCATTATATTACTTATTGGTCCAGTTGTGAGGATTTTTGTTTTCTTTATGTTGAGATGTAATCCTTGCTGAAGGCTGTTGTCTTTGATCTTTATCAGTAAGTGCTTCAAGTCCAAGGCTGTTGTCTTTGATCTTCATCAGTAAGTGCTTCAAGTCCTCTTCACTTTCAGCGAGCAAGTTTGTGTCATCTGCATATCACAGACTGTAATGAATCTTCTTCCAAACCTGACGCTGTGTTCTTCTTCATATAGTCCAACTTCTCCGATTATTCCCTTTGGATACAGATTGAATAAGTAGGGTGAAAGGATACATCCCTGACACACCTTTCCTGATTTTAAATCACGCAGTATCCCCTTGTTCTTTTCGAACGATTGCCTTTTCATCTATGTACAGGCTCCTCATGAGCACAGTTAAGTGTTCTAGAATTCCCATTCCTTGCAATGTTATCCATAATTATGATACACACAGTCGAATGCCTTTGCATAGTCAGTAAAACACAGGTAAACATCTTTCTGGTGTTCTCTGCTTTCAGCCAAGGTCCATCTGACATTATCAATTTATATCCCTCATTCCATGTCCTCTTCTGAATCCAGTTTGAATTTCTAGCAGTTCCCTGTCAATAGGCACTCTAGATATTATTTCATACCATCTGTTAATAAAATCAATGAGATGTTAGACAGGCTAAGTAACATTAGCTGCTGTAACATACAATCTTAAAATCCCAGTGGATTAATACAGTAAGATTATGTTTTGTTCATATCATAATCCAATGGTGTGTGTGTGTGTGTGTGTGTGTGTGTGTGTGTGTTGGGCAGGGAGCTCTGTTCTTTTCAATCTTACAGGGACCCAGAATCCTCTGTCTAGTGCCTCCACTTCCCTAGGGCCTCTGAGTCCTCTGCTGGATTTTCTGCATGCATCTGGCTAACCAGGAAGAGACAGTGCACGGGGGATAGTGGAAAAGGTTTCACAGGACAGGCCAGGATGTGGTGTTCAGAACTTCTGCCCACATTCCCTCAGCCAGAGATTACTCACATAGGCACTGCAGAGGATGCTGGGAAATGTTAACCGTGCCCAGAGAGAAAATGAACATGATGTGGTGAATATGTAGCATTGTCTCTGTCACACTGAGATAGTTATTACTGTCACTATTTTACAGATTGGCTAATTATAGCTGTCTCCTGACCAATGAGCTCTTCCCTGAGGAAAAAGCTTGTCGTCTGCTCTTCTAAAGCCAGGGACACCTTGTTCAGGTTCTGACACATAGGAAGTCCACAACACACTTCTCTTGAATTGAGCTGGATTAGAGGAGTTCAAACTTGCAGCATAATGGTGAGCGACCCGATTTTTCCGCTTTCGCTGCAGCCTTTGCCCTCTAGGTTAGCACGCTGACAGCTGGAACCCCTGTCTCCCACCCAAGTCTGATGATGCACAGTAAGACTCTTCCATGCCAGGTGGGCAGCCCAAGGTCCTTTGGAATGTAGTTTCTGTCATTTCTTCACGGTGATGAGAAAAGTCCAATGACGCAGAAATACAAGGAAGTGGGATGGAGGAGGTGGAGGAGGGGGAATGAATCTGAACCTTGTTATGGATTGAATGATGTCCCCCAAAAGATATGTTGAAGTCTTAACCCCTGTATTTGTGAATGTGACCCTGTTTGTAATTAGGGTCTTTGAAGATGTTACTAGTTAGGTTAACATGAAGTCATACTGGAGTAGGGCGCATCCTAATCCAACATGACTGGTGTTCTTATGAAAGAAGAGAAGAGACTCAGAGTTAGGGAGACAGAGGGTGGATGCTGTGTGACACTGCAGCTGCAAGTCAAAGAATGCCTGGAGCCACCAGAAACTAGGAGAGAGGCATGGAAAAGACTCTCTCTTAAAGTCTCAGAAGGAATCAACATGGCCGACACCCTGATCTTGGATTCCCAGCCTCAAGAACTGTGAGAGAATACATTTATCTTCTTATAAGTTACCTAGTTTGTGATGTTGTATTATGGCTGCCCTAGGAAGTCAATACAAACCTGGAAGTTTTATCCTTCTTATTAAGGAGAAAGGATGGATGCATAGCCCAAAGCAGAGGATTACCTATTGTTATTAACTGATTGCTTTAGAGGGACATTTTTTTTTTTTTTTTAAACTTGTGCTTTAGATGAAAGTTTACAGAGCAAATTAGTTTCTCATTAAACAAGTAATACACATATTGTTTTGTGACATTGGTTGCCAACCCCCCGATGTGTCAACTCTCTCCTTTTCTTGACCTTGGGTTCCCCATTTCCATTCGTCCAGCTTTCTTTCTTTTTTTTTTTTTATCGCAATATGATTTAAAATAAACATCGTCCAGCTTTCTTGACCCTTCCTGCCTTCTCGTCCTTTCCCCTGGGCTGCTGTGCCCATTTAGTATCATATACATGGTTGAGCTACTTGTATTATTGTTTGTTTTATGAATCTGTTTAATCTTTGGATGAAGGGTGAACCTCAGGAGTGACTTCAGTACTGAGATAAAAGGGTGTCCGGAGGCCATACTCTTGAGGTTTCTCTAGTCTCTTTCAGACCAGTAAGTTTGGTCTTTTTCTGTGAGTTAGAATTTTGTTCTATATTTTTCTCTGGCTCGGTCCAGGACCTTCTATTGTGATCCCTGTCAGAGCCGTGGGTGGTGGTAGCCGGGCACCATCTAGTAGTGCCGGACTCAGGCTGGTGGATGCCATGGTAGTTGTTGTCTGTTAATTCTTTGGACTAATCTTTCCCTATGTCTTTGGTTTTCTTCATTCTCCCTTTCTCCAGATGGGGTGAGACCAGTGGAGTGTCTTAGATGTCTGCTCACAAGCTTTTAAGACCCCAGGAGACCTTATTTCTTACCTTCTTACACAAAGCATGATTATCGGGCTCCAGTGTTGGTCCTGGAGGGTGTTCAACCCTCACCCTGTTGTTCCCCTTTGCCATGTGCTGGATGTTATATGTGGTCCTTAAAGAATATTTCATCCTCTCTTCTCCTCCTGGTTCCCTTCACTGAGGACAAGAGCTAGTGAAATTTCATTGTTTTTCAATAATCCAAACCCTCAGCTCAGCAATACTTAAATGGCTGTTTCTTTCTTCTTCTTTTTTTTTTTTTTAATGACCTAATCAGTGATGATCGCTGTGGATATCTGAGAAGAATGGATACAAATGAAAGAGAGGCTAGCAAAGGGCTAGCAGAGGAGCAGAAAAAGGCCCCAGGGAATAGAAATCACCAAAAACAAAGACTCACAATATGGCTTAAAGAGCTTCATCATTATTAATTTAGGAAGCTTAAAGAGAGTGGGTGACAAGAAAAGGGCAGTAGAAGAATCCCAATGGTAAGCTTGCTAAGCATGTGAAGGTTGTCCAATCCATTGAGAGCCAGAACCATTGGAGGCCCTTCCTTTCTTTGGTCCTTCCATGGGCCCAGTGGTAGTGCAAAGTGCAGGCCCAGGCCCGAGGAGGCAGCAATCCTGGCCCATCTCTGTGGGTTGGTGGCAGGGTCTGAGAGGGCTCAGCAGTGCTGAGCAGTCTAATGGGCATGTGGTGGTTCAATGGTAGAATTTTTGCCTTCCATGCCAAAGACCTGGGTTTGATCCTGGGCCAATGTACTTTATGCACAGCCACCACCCCTCTGTCACTGGAGGCTTGAGTGTTGTTATATTGCCGAACAGGTTTCAGCGGAGCTCCCAGACTAACACAGACTAGGAAGAAAGACCTGGTGATCTACTTCTGAAAATCAGCCGATGAAAATCCTGCGGATCCCAGTAGTCTGATCTGCAACTGATCATGGAGATTGCACAGGACCAGGCAGCATTTTGTTCCATTGTGCATGAGGTCTCCAACTTAGCAGCTAACAACTACAGTTGGATATGATTAAGGGTAGGGTTGTGCAACCAATTATTGTAATTGCTGTCAATAAGTTGTATACCTGTAAAATGTTGAATGGGCAAAAGTTTGTGATAGACATATTTACAAAGGACCAAAAAAAAAGAGTAGCTGCTGAGGCTGCTTATGTACAGCTAAAATACTCATGGAATTTGGTTTCTTGGTTTGGAGGTTTAGGGTCCTGATTTCACGGGACATCCCAGTTAATTGGCCTAATAACTTATTTAGTGCTTCTGTTCTGCCTCCTAGTTCATTATGTATTACTCGGGGTCTTAAAAGCTTGGAAGTAGCCAAGAAAGGCACAACAATTGCTCTCTATTTGCCTGGAGCAACAGAGGAAGAAAGAGAGTCAAGAATAAGAGGAGAATATGGAATGTGTGGCTAATTGCCGCCATTAACAACAACCACCTCCTTTGCCATGAGACCAGAAGAACTGGATGGTCCTTGACTACCATTGCTAAACATTTTGATCAAAGATTCTATAGAAGAATCCGATCAAAAAGGGGAAAATGCAGAACAGAATTCCAAATTCTCATGGACTCCAGACTTCCTGGAGCCTTGAAGGTTGGATGAAGCCTGACTACTGCCCTGAGATAATCTTTAAACCTTACACCAGAAGGATCCCCTGAAGTCTTCTTAAAATCATACAATAGTTTAGCTTGACTAGTAAAAGAGATCTGCCTTGAGCATTATGCTCTTTTAAGAACTATCTATATGGGATCAAACTGACAACAGCAACTCGAAAGATTAGACGGGAACCTTAGGGGGCAGTGAGTTTATGTTAGTGGGGGAGGGACAACTCAGAAAAGGAGAGTAAGAATGGCTGCATAACTCGAAGAATGTAATCAGTGTCACTAAATGGTACATGTAGAAACTGTTGAATTGGTGTATGTTTTGTTGTGTATATTCTCAACAACAATAAAAAATTAATAAAAGTAAAAAAAAAAAAAAAAGAAAAATAACAACTGGCTGGGCATGGGCCCTGACCCATTAGAATGGAGGCCACCTATTGGGCTGAATCATGGCACTGGAGGGCTCCAACAGTGCCAAGTACTGACGTTTTAGTAAAGCTGCCCAATTGTTGGGGTGGTCTGGGAGTTTTGGGAGAGGGGTGGGGACAGCTTAGGCAGTGGGTGGGAGAAGAGCTTGAGGAGCATGCTTTTATCAACTAGTACGCAGTATTTTGGAGCCCTGGTGGCGCTTTGGTTAAGAGCTATGGCTGCTAACCAAAAGGTCAGCCGTTGGGGGCATTTCTACTCTGTCCTATAGGGTTGCTACGAGTTGAATCTGTTTGATGGCAACGGGCATGCTTGCAGTATTTCAATATTTTAACAACTAGTCCAGCTGTACCTGTGCACGTCAGCTCAATTTCTACCTTGGGAGCATCACCCCTGTGATTTCCCTGCTGCTGTGATTGAGCCATGAGATAGAACTGGATCCCTTTGGTGGAACTCTTTATCGATTCTGTTGGAGAAGATTGATCAGGCGTGCTGGCTGACAATTCCCAAGAGCGCATCTTTCAGAGAACTTCAAGGCCACTTACCCTTGACCTCTCTGACTTTTTATTTCCCTCTCTGACTTTTTTGAAACGTGTGCTTCTGTAGGGTGCCTCCTCCTATTCCCCATGGAGCTCTCTCCAGTCTCTGCCCCTGGCGGGCTCCTGCCCTGCAGTGCCTCATGGGAGTGCCATGTATTTTAATCAAAGGCAAGGAGAAGGCAGCTTATGGCTTGTCATTAGGCTGATAAGATGTGAAATGACCACTGTATTGTATTCATTTCTCCAAGACAGCAGCCTGGTGTTCTGCATTGTCAGCTCATTAGAGGATGTCACTGAAAAAATGCAAATATAGCCCAACTCCAGCATTATCAGCTCCTTCCAATTCCCTCAGCACAGAACATCAGAGCCCCGGCATGCTAATCTGATTTCATCACTTGGGCAGTGGGGTTTTTTATTGAGCTCAGTCAGAGGTGGCTGCAGGGCTAAAAGAATCTAGGCACTTTTTGTTCGGGGGGGAGACAGCAGGTGTGTTTCTACAACCTAGTGTATTTATATAGACCCTACCTTGCACCAGACGGGATTTAAGGCTGTTCTCAATCTGACATGCTTCAGCGTAATCCAGAGATAGGCAGCTCTGATGTATCAAAATCTTTAAGAAAGGAGAAAATTAAACCAAAAACCAAACCCACTGCCGTCGAGACGATTACAACTCATAGGAGAAATTAGGGGATAATAATTCCCTAAATAGAAATTTTTGGCTTAAAACACACGACATATTTCTAATTTTTCAACATGATTGAAGCTACCTACATTTATACTAAAAGAAGAGATACCTTTCTTGGACAGACTGGGTTCAGAATTAGCTGGCAATGCTAGTCAAACTTTCCCACCAGAATACACCCCCGGCAGAGGTTGGTGCCTGTGCACCCCGGCTATGCACACAGGTTG